TTCCGAGGCGATATCCTGAGGTACGGTTAGGTCGTACCGGACATTGACGCACGAAATGACCCGACTGACCACAATACAGGCATAGTCCGTCTTGCCGACGTTGTTGTCTCACCGACCCTTGTAGAGGTGACCGTCCCAGTTGCATAGGTTCCTCCTCAGATTCTCTCCTCCGCTCTGTCGCTTGCATAGGACCAGTGATCGAGGGCTCCCGAACTGTGGATGCCTTGTGTTGCACTATAAGATTATCAATAGAGATGGCAATTTTGATAAACTCATGTAGCGTAGTGATATCTCCTCGACAAGCCAACTCAGTCTGTACGTCTTTGCGCAGACCTCTACGGAAAACTGTGAGCAAAGCAGTCTCGCTCCATCCGCTACCGGCTGCTATAGTACGGAACTCTAAAGCGTAGTCGGCTACTGTGCGACGGCCCTGCTGAAGTTCGCATAGCTGATCTCCCACACTACGCCCAGATACTGGGTGGTCGAACACCTCTTGAAACAGTCTCTTGAACTGAACTTCCTCATTCAGCTCGGGGACCTCAGCTGCCCAAAGCGCAGTAGCCCAATCCAGTGCTCTTCCCGTTAGCAGAGAAATCATGAAATCCACCCTGCTACGGTCATCGGAAAACATGGAATGATTATACGACATATACAGGGACATCTGGAGTAGAAACCCCTGACATTTGCCAGGTTCCCCGTCGTACCTTGTCGGTATAGAAATCGGAGGTGCATGACGAGGACTGACCGTACTCGGGGTGGTGCCTTCCGCTGCACCAGCGTTGAGTAGCTGTAGGAGTTCATCCATGCATTTCTCCTGTACCTCCCATCGCCTCTGTAATTCCGCTGGATCCATGGTAATGGCGAGGTATTCTGTAATGAATACTCGGACAGAGTGGTAAGATCCAATCGCAGAATAGCGATGCTTTATTAAAGTACAGACAAGGGAAAGGCTTAATTGTGGTCGGGCGGGCTGTGGTCAAAACCGGGCCAGGCATAGACAGGCAGGGGTACCAAAGGAGCGGGCTTAGTCGTAGTCGAGGTCACAGGCACAGGATCCGAGAACGGTAATCACTGGGGTAGACAAGTAGAGGATTAAGCAATACGGGGAGTCAAATAACAAGGCACTGGTCGGATACACGGGTAATCAAAACAACAAACTCTCTCTCTCTCTCACTCGGAACAAAACGCTTAGCAAGTCACAATGGAACAATACCTCGCGCCGACTGAGCTTCTGAGCACACCTTAAATCCTATACTAATTACTGACAGGTGTGCTCAGAACTCAGGTGAACCAGATCGAGTCTGATGACTCCCCCTCTCAGTAGATCGGGGAAGTGTCAGACTGTCTAGATCCTGCCAAACCCCGATCCCTTACAATAATCAGTGTGACACTGGATAAGTGCACTTGCCACACACAGTCTTTAGGGTGTCTATAGGTTTCCATCCAATTGGCGACAGATTTTCATACAAATATTCTCAAATCTGAATCCAAATCATATAAATAATATGATCATTTCAGGGTTTTATTCAGGAAAATTTGGCGGACATTTGAGAAATTTACCGGGCATCCATATGCATTATATTGTTAGAACTCTGGTAGGCCTGAAACATAGAATGGTTCTGAAGCGTGAATAGGCGTGAGGCTATGATAGAAAGCCTCTCCAGGACAATTTGGCCTGCTACAATTTTTTTTATTGGCTTTTCATTTTTTTTATTGGCCAAAAGCCACAATTACCGGCTAAGGGAAACCCTGGCGCATTTTACCATCAGAGTTGTGTTTCCATCAAATTCACATGTTGCAGATAAAAGTATGTGCGTAAATACGTAGTGCACATAAAAATAACTTTTGAGGTTAAATTCCCATGTCCCTTGTACCGAATAACAAATACAAATGACATCGCATTTTCAACTCTACTGATCACTGTGCACTTTCACCACCCTGTGCAACTCTCCTACGGACTCGGGAGAGGCGAAGGTCGAGAGCCATGTGTCCTCCGAAACGCGACCCTGCCAAGCCGCACTGCTTCTTGACACACTGCTCGCTTAACCCGGGAGCCAGCCGCACCAATGTGTCAGAGGAAACACAATCCAGATTGTGACCGAAGTCAGCTTGCAGGCGCCCGGCCCGCCACAAGGAGTCGCTAGAGCGTGATGGGACAAGGAAATCCCAGCCGGCCAAACCCTCCCCTAACCCAGATGACCGTGGGCCAATTGTGCGCTGCCTCATTGGTCTCCAGGTCACAGCCGGCTGTGACACAGCCTAGGATCGAACCAGGGTCTGTAGTGACGCCTCATGCGCCAGGGTTTCCCTTAGCAGGTAATTGTGGCTTTTGGCCAATAAAAAAAATGAAAAGCCAATAAAAAAAATTGTAGCTGGCCAAATTGTCCTGGAGAGGCTGTCTAGCCTTAGACCGCTGCGCCGCTCGGGAGGCCATCCTGACATTTTTTAATCCGACATGTAGGCTACTTTACTGCATAAAAAGGTTGGATGGAAACCTGGTTAATGTCAAGCCATTTTGAGGATGCTGGAATTTTATTTGGGATGAACATGCGCATGCCTACAGGACACTAATCAGATTAAAACATTGTGACTGGTTGTATTCATGCCACATATTTTAAAAGTGAAATGATAAATATTTAGGCTATGTTGAAGCGTTAGGTTCTAGGTGCGCGAGGAATAGCCGCTCAGATTGGAGAGGAGGCAGAGCGGGTAACTGGGCCTGCCAGGAGCATATGTCGCCACATTATTTTAGGAAGACTTGGGATAATTATTATCTGAAACAGACAGCACAACTCAGTATCAGAAGTAAAAATACAGCCAGACTGGCCTGCTACTGTGTCTTTCTAGACTTTATAAACTGTCGAGAGTAGACCCACAACTGATCCAAATGGAATGAAACATTCAAATCACAGGGCTTTTGCACCGTTATTCAAATGACATTTTCACTGCAGTATAATTTTGTACTCACTTGAAAACAATAATGCAATTATTCATTGCATTGTAGTGTTGTAGGCTACTATAGTCTAGGTAGGATAATTGTATTGTCCCTAAACAAGATCAATAGGGGAGCTTTTTGAGCTGAGTGTTTCATGTCTTCACTGTTCTTTCATGCGCAATGAAGTACCTGGCGCCTCCGCTGCCCATCAGCTATTCCTATTTGTTCTTGTGGATTCATATTGAAAATGTATGAAGCTTTGAATGCTTTTATGTGTGGTATGATTGCTAGTTAGCCTATTGCAGACCTGGACAAACGATCCACCTACCACTATTGTCACTATAAATGATGAATAGAGGGCAGGATAGAGCGTTACACTGGTAGAATATACTGACCTGTGGTATAGTTAAACAATAAGGCCCAAGGGGGTGTGGTATATGGCCAATATATCAGGGCTCTTGAAGAACGATCTGGCCTTAATGGCCATGTACTCTTATAATCTCCACCCGGCACAGCCAGAAGAGGACTGGCTTGGACTAGGTTTGGTTCCTGCCTTTCTAGGGAGTTTTTCCTAGCCACCTTGCTTCTACATCTGCATTGCTTGCTCTTTGAGGTTATAGGCTGAGTTTCTGTGTAAGCACTTTGTGACATCTGCTGATGTAAAAAGGGCTTTAGAAATACATTTGATTTGATTTGATTTGATTTAAGGGCTGTTCTTTACCCGACGCAACGCGGAGTGCCTTGATACAGCCCTTAGCCATGGTATATTGGCCATATACCACAAACCCCCAGGATGCCTTATTGCTATTATAAACTGGTTACCAACATAATTAGAGTCAAAATAAATGGTTTGTCATACCCATGGTAGAAAAGTTTGCCTTCTCGTCAGGACACTCGAGACTGTTCATTACGAGGAGATCGCATTGCATATCAAAAACTAGGCTAGAAGCTAGCTAAATAGTTTGTTGTTAGAAAGTCTGCCAATATGGTGGTGGGTACTCTCTTCGTTCACTGGACTTTATCCTGCTAACTGTTCCAAATGTCCGAACTGAATTTGGTAAAAGGTCTTTTATGTACTCTGCGCCATCGTCTTGGAACACCTTACAAAATAATTTTAAACTGGAAGAACTTGTCCCGATTGGTGTTTTTAAATCTCTGATGAAGGATTTTGAGGCTGATTCCCTGACCCGTCAATGTCTTTAATTTGCTGTTTTTGATATTGTTATACTCTTGTGAATTCATGAATGGTTTTTACTAGATTACTTGTAGTTGTTCATGTTGTCTGTCTGTAATTTTTTGTAATGACTTGGTGCTGCCTATCTTGGCCTGGACGCTCTTGAAAAATAGATTTTAAATCTCAATGAGCCCTTCCTGGTTAAATAAAGGTTAAATAAAATAAAATAAAAAATAAAATATGACAACCGAATTAAAAAATACCAGTTGCTGAAAACAACTGGTCAAACTAGAAACATGTGGGAGGATTTGACAGCAGAGCGCCACTTGCGTCATGACTGCAACAGTAGGGACCAGAGAAATGCATGTTTATCACTCACCACGTTAGGTCATCAGATGCTCCAAAACAATATGTATGCAAAAACAAATCAATGCCTAGCTAGCTAAGTTTTCTTGTTGGACCAGCGTTTACGATGTATCCCATTTCAGTTTGTTTAGTTGTTGGTTTTGCTTTCTGTAACTTTGTAGCAAGTACGGTCTGCATGTGCATGTCTGCAGGCGCATATTGTGTCACTATTGCAAGGTGTCCCGATATCTGGTTTGAATGCCCTTCTAGTCAATCAGAAACGGGTATTCAACAATACTGTGGTATAATGTATGTATAATTTTGTCCCCAGACTGCTCTCATGGACTGGGGACGAGGTTTAATTGATAGCCTATATGCCCTTGTTCCAAATGCGCAGTTTACGCAGGGATTCATGGGGGTGAGTCGGCGGATCAGCGGTGGACGGGGGCTCAAATTGTTGTAGGAAAAAAATGAAAACTAGTAAGTAATCGGATTAAAGTGGTTATGTTTAAAATTGGAGGTATGAACAGCAGTCCGGCATTCGATCGCAAGTAAACTGCGATATCAGATCTTCTTGACCCCTTTCACTGGAAGTAAGGACACTAGAAACACACAGCCAACATGCCAGTTGACCTGAATGGGTATTGGAAAATGATCTCCAATGACAACTTCGAAGAGTACTTGAAAGCCCTCGGTGAGTTGTCCAACAGTCTTTTATGGATGGTTTGCGCTTAATGACGGGGATTTAAACTTCAGTCAAAATGGATGATGCGCAAGGATACCTGCTGGACCACTGCGCCATGGGTTCAATATTGAGCTCTATCCATCAATCAAAACCCTAACTATAGATCTAACTAACGTTACCATTCTGAATATTTAGATAAATATATAGGTTTATAGCCTTTAGTAGTTCGAAAGTGTTCTTATTGGAGCACTAGTGTAGATACTGACATTGGTTGTGTCACTTAAAATAATGGTTTCGAAAGTGCCTCATATTTACAAAGTATCCAAAAAAGATTCCTGGAGTTGGATCCAGTTATAGCCTATAGGCTACAGAAACAGAGGTTATGGGAGAATGAGTGTGATGTTAGGCTATAGATGAATGTAGCCCTCCTGTGTTCATCTATTTTCTATATCTTTCCTTTTTTGGGGACCCCTCACACAGATGTAAATGTTGCCATTAGGAAAATTGCCACCTTGTTGAAGCCCGACAAAGACATCAGTCAAGATGGTGACCACGTTGTCATCAAGACCCTCAGTACCTTTAAGAACTACAACATGGATTTCCATGTTGGCAAGGAGTTTGAGGAGGATCTCTCAGGGGTGGATGACAGAAAATGCATGGTGAGTTGACAAAAATATTACCATCACACATTCAGACTAGACTAGTTTTTGGCTATCAAAGGCTATCAAAACGTATTTCTGGAGACTAGAGAGAGACACAGAACAAGAAGAAATGTTAATGTTTCATTAGTGATTTGATCAATCATATTTCCTCTAGTGCAGTGTTTCCCAAACTTGCAAGGGGTGCACGTTTTGGTTTTTGCCCTAACACTACACAGCTGATTCAAATGATCAAAGCTTGATGATTGGTTGATTATTTGAATCAGCAGTGTAGTGCTAGGGCAAAAACCAAAATGTGCACCCCTTGGGGTCCCGAGTTTGGGAAACCCTGCCCTAGTGTGATTGCAGTCCTTATGTGTCCTTATCAATACTTGATTGAGGTACCACTGTGAACACAAGGGGCCTTGAGTTAATATAATAATATATTCCTTTTAGCAGACGCTTTTATCCAAAGCAACTTACAGTCATGCGTGCATACATTTTACGTATGGGTGGTCCTGGGAATCAAACCCACTACCCTGACAGGTGCAAGCGCAATTGCTCTACCAACTGAGCCACAGAGGACCACAGTTGAGACTAAGGGGGAAGCAGTAGACGGAATCAGCAATAAAGCTAGAGAAGACACTGGAGTTCTTGAGTACACATAAAGGCTTTTTGCACTACTGAGCAGATCAGAGCAGAGCTAAACCGAGCTGTACAGATCTGGCCTGGTTACATATTCGCCATAGTTGCTGGAACTGCTGAAGAGGACAAAGTGAAAATAAAATATCCAAGCCAGCACAGTAAGGTTTGGGTCAGCCTAATAAAATCAGGCAATAGAGGACAAGAGCAAGACGAGAAGGTTAGTTAGGAGCTCAGAGACAAACTTGTATGATTACATTTTTCCCCTGATTACATATTTTCTCTGAGAACTGATTAGGATCTGCATATTTTTCTCCCCAAAAAGATCTGCCCTTGTAAGCCGATTTAGACTGATTACTTTTCAAGCCCATAAGCCATCACCTTGTGTGGTGCTGCGAGTACCATCAGGGAATGAAATAACGTAATCTGTTATTGACCAATGGTCCAACTATATAATGTTGTACCTTACGATTTGTGAGTCCAATTCATGAAGACTTTACTATACCTTTATGACTATTTATACAGTTGACTGCTGACTTGTTTATGTCATGAAAGAGCTGGTGTGTATAATATCTGGTCAGTATTGTGTGTATATATAGTCATAATGACAGCACTAGGATAACACTCCTGTTGGTATGAATAAGAACTGATCCAAATAGATGTCAGGACAGCCTTTCCTCACATTCTGATCTCATTCAAGTCCTTTGGCATATTATTTGCTCCTGTACACTGAACAATATATGAAAAGTTATTTTGCTCTGCTGAGAAGTGTGTTTGCATGTTTCTGTCTGTATACACTGAGTGTACAAAACATTAGGAACACCTTCCTAATATTGAGTTGCACACCCTTCTGCCCTCACAACAGCCTCAATTCGTTGGGGCATGGACTCTACAAGGTGTCGACGCTGGCCCATGTTGACTCCAATGCTTCCCACAGTTGTTCCAAGTTTGCTGGATGTCTTTTGGGTGGTGGACCATTCTTGATACACACAGGAAACTGTTGAGCGTGAAAAACCCAGCAGTTCTTGACACACTCAAACCGGTGCCTGGCACCTACTACCATACCACATTCAAAGGCACTTAAATATTTTGTCTTGCCCATGCACCCTCTGAATGACACACACACACACACACAATCCATGTCTCAACTGTCTCAAGGCTTAAAAATCATTCTTTAACCTGTCTCCTTCCCTTCATCTACACTGATTGAAGTGGATTTAACAAGTGACATCAATAAGGGATCATAGCTTTCACCTGGTCAGTCTATGTCATGGAAATGTTTTGTACACTCAGTGTATGTTTTCCCTGTAAGTTGTTCTACATATGTTCGTGCACGCTGTGTGTGTGTGGATGTGTGTGTGTAGATGTGTGGGTCATGTTCCTAACTGACAGTAGAATGCATAATGGTGTCTCTCCTCTCTTCCCGTAGACCACTGTCTCATGGGAGGGGGACAAGCTGGTGTGTGTTCAGAAGGGAGAGAAGGAGGGCCGAGGCTGGACCCATTGGGTGGAGGGAGATACGCTTCATCTGGTAAGAGAGTCTGTTCATTCATGTCATTTGAATGCAAGTCTACTTCCTCAGTTCCTGATTTCACTTTTTGTCACAACAGATCTCAGATCAGGTGATTTAAAACATGTATATAGATGTGGCTATAGATAAATAGCAGAGATAAAAAAAACGGCACTGACCTCTACAATGACTACCTTCATTACATTGACATTGCAGATTTTCATTGCTATATGATTATTGTCATCAAAGCTGAGTAAAAGGCAGTGGAGGCTGCTGAGTGTTTGATGTTGATAGCCATTACCACATGCCCGTCCTCCCCAATTAAGGTTCCACCAACCTCCTGTGGTAAACGGCATCTGACTGCCATATTATTTAGTCAAAGTGATTCCAACAGATGTTCCGCAATCAGTGGCCATAAAATTATTCATCAGCAGAGTGGCTCCCTGGTCATTAATCCCGGAATCACTGAACAGCAGCGGCCTCTGGTGGTTAGAAATAGAACTGCAAGTACAAGTGCTTTGCCAATGGTTATTCTCCATAGAGGAGATTTATTTACTGTGTAAACATTTTTTACATTTTCACAGCTGTTTACCTCAATTAATGGTGATAAGGCAGTTATTTTTCTCTCCCTACACAAATAAATAATGAATCAAACGGATCTATAAAAAATATGTTCTCTCTGCAGGAGCTGAGAGCATGTGGAGCTGTGTGCAAACAGGTCTTCAAGAAAACTTAAAGCAGCCCTGGAACAACAGAACGGTACCCCCTACCTGAGCGTGCAAGAGAGACATGGACACGACCCAAGAGTGTGACAGAGAACCCCCTATTGCACTCATCCGTCCGTCAATCCATCCTTTCACATTTAATTCCATCAGGACTGTTGCCTTGCACCCACAAAAGTCAAACTATCCACAACAGGGGTGATGTACATGATGCTTCCTAACAAAAAGGAAAACAACTGTTTATTTTATTTTTCTTCTTTCCTTTTATTATCTTTCCATCACTGGTACTGTGACTCTGTTTCATGGGGGGGCGGGTGCTCCTTTGATTAACATGTTATAGGTGGATTAGATGCCTAATACACTGTATTAGATTTAGTTGGCTTTGCAATTAGTGCCTTAATCTCTGATGATGCGCCGGACTGAAAACTGGGGGTGAACTTGACCAGTAGGAAGGAGGGTTTCAGCAGAATGAAAGAGAAAGTGAGGGTGAGAGAGGTAAAGAATGAAAATGAAATGTACAGGCAACAGAAGATGTGACAGATGGGCATCGTAGCCATCTTGGTAGAAAGCTTTACAAGTACTAATGTGTTCTGTAAATTACAGTAGACTTTGACTGTGTTTTTCCTTCTCAATTAATTTGCCCTCGATAGGACAAAACCAATCAATAAATGAATCTCAATGTGGACTGTCTGTGAGAGTTGTCGTCTTTAAAAGCGAGAAAGCAAATGAAAGCAAAATAAATGTCACGTTTTTCTATCACCTATGTAAAGTCAACTTGACCAGTATGAAGGAAGGTTTCAGTGTAAAGTCACCTTGACCAGTATGAAGGAAGTTTCAGTGTAAAGTCAACTTGACCAGTATGAAGGAAGGTTTCAGTGTAAAGTCAACTTGACCAGTATGAAGGAAGGTTTCAGTGTAAAGTCAACTTGACCAGTATGAAGGAAGGTTTCAGTGTAAAGTCAACTAACATTTGGACCACTAGAGAAGCAGCTAAACAGCTAACTCAAACACACAAACTTTTGATGCCACTTTGTTTAAAATGTTCAGGATGCATGACAGAAGTATTAAGTTCCGGTGGTATGCATTGAAACACGTGGCCTTTTTGTGCCTTTCTTTTGCAAACTACTATGAATGAACTGACTTATTTGGGCGGCAGGTAGCTTAGTGGGTAAGAGCGTTGTGCCAGTAACCGAAAGGTCGCTGGTTCTAATCCCCGAGCCGACTAGGTGAAAAATCTGTCGATGTGCCCTTAAGCAAGGCACTTAACCCTAATTGCTCCTGTAAGTCGCTCTGGATAAGAGCGTCTGCTAAATGACGTAAATGTAAATGTAAATGTTATTTCCTAAAACTTGTCAATAAACATCATATTAAGGTGTGGAACATTCATTGTGTGACAATAAATAACTAGCAGGTCTGTTACACTCCAGCAGCTAGAATTTATCTGTCCACAATAAACTGTGGGAACATGGCGGCCCTCAACACCAGACAACAGAAAGAGCTGGCCGCTACTATACGAGAGATTGTTTGTGAGGAGATTACCTCTGCCCTCTACTTACAATTAAAACCAGTAAATGAATAATTGACAGTGCTCACTACTAAAGTGGATACCTATTCAACTGAAGTGGAAAGTCTGGAGAAGACATCCAATGTGACAGAGGTGTGACTCCATGACCTGGAAACAGCACAAGCTAACCTAGAAGGGATAATCAAACTTTAAAAGAGAAAACGGAAAATCACTCAAAATTCCCGTAAATTCAATGTGTGGTTCACAGGACTTGAAACTGGTGTGTAAGTGGGCAACCCATCTTCATTTATTAGCAATCTTTTCTATAAACTGTTCGGGCAGGAGAAGCAGGGTCCCATGCCGCTGATTAACATTGCTCACCGCACGGGTCAACTCCGCAACGGCTCAACTCCGCAACGGCTCTAGCTGTATGATTGTACAGATCCAAAGCTTTGAAGCCATGTTAACATGACTGAAGTATACTCAAAGCTCTGACTCCATGCAATTATTATCACACAAACATGGTGTCAGAAGTAACTGAACCCGAAAATAAGTGCATATCACGTTACTGGAGTCTGTAGTGCACTGCCGTGAGTACTTTAGGATCTTTACGGACAGCGCAAAATTGAGTTTTAGCGTCAGTTAGCATTAGCAGAAAGCTAGTTAGCTAGCTAGCATACAGTGTCAGCATGGCTACCAACATCCCCTCGCCGGATGAAATGAAAATGACCTGCAATAACTGGGACAATTTTAGCGCAGAGTTTGAAGACTATCTGCTAGCCTCTGGATTATAAAAAAAAAACCTGCTGAAGTGCAGGCAGCAACACTGAGAAGAGAGATGGGCAGTTAGATTTGTCACATCTACAAACACAACTAGGATATAACAGCAGATCAGGAAAAGGACGTGGCAGCTGATCTCATCGCGAGATACTTCAAACCAGCATAAAATTTAATATTTTAACGCTTCATTTTCGGCACCTGCAGACAAGAGGAGGGTGAGACAATTTATGATTTTGTGACCAGATTCAGAGAGAAAGCAGCCTGGACAACTAAAAGATGAGCTGATAAGGGACAGAGTGGTGCTTGGGATTGGTGATGAGAGTGCGTGCCGCTGCCCCCTCAGAGAGCGTGATCTCACTCTCACCTCTGCCATTGAGATCGGCCGGGCTGCAGATTTGACAGACAGGAGAATGAGAGCAATGACGCAAGACAGACCAGGAGACAACAACATCAACACCACAGATGGACTGCGATCCCGATGACGGTCATTGCCCAGGCAAGAAAAACCCCAACATCAATCCAGCACAGCAGGGGAAAGCCCTGGGACATGCAGATACTGCGGTAACAACCACAAGCATGGACAGAAGCTATGCCCAGCCTATGGTAAGGCTTGCTGTCTGTGTGGAACTGCAAATCACTTTGCTAAAGTGTGCATGAAGAAACAAGCCTCACACCAACTAAACACAGTGGATACCCCAGCTCTGGAAGTGGACCAGGAGAATGGAAATAATGGACATATCTATTCAACCAGGAGCATAGGAGCAGTGAATGCACAGGGGGAAAAATGGTTTGTCAACCTACAACTGCACAATGGCAACCTGTGTCGTGATGAGCATAAAGGACAAGATGAGATTAACCTTATCCTCAGCCAAACCAAACGGAAGCTATACTGAACAAAAATATAAACGCAACATGTAAAGTGTTGGTCCAATGTTTCATCAGCTGAAATAAAAGATCCCAGAAATGTTCCATGCATACAAAAAGATGATCTCAAATTTTGCGCACAAATGTGTTTACATCCCTGTTAGTGAGCATTTCTCCATTGCCAAGATAATCCATCCACTTGACAGGTGTGGCATATCAAGAAGCTGATTAAACAGCATGATCATTACACAGGTGCACCTTGTGCTGGGGACAATTAAAGGCCACTCTAAAATATGCAGTTTTGTCACACAACACAATGCCACAGATGTCTCAAGTTGAGGGAGCGTGCAATTGGCATGCTGACTGCAGGAATGTCTACCAGAGCTGTTGCCAGAGAATGTAATGTTCATTTATCTTACATAAGCCACCTCCAACGTTGTTTTAGAGAATTTGGCAGTACGTCCAACCAGCCTCACAACCGCAGACCACGTGTAACCATGCCAACCAAGGACCTCCACATCTGGCTTCTTCACCTGCGGGATCGTCTGAGACCAGCCACCCTGACAGCTGATGAAACTGAGGAGTATTCTGTTTGTAATAAAGCCCTTTTGTGGGAAAAACTCATTCTGATTGGCTGGGCCTGGCTCCCCAGTGGGTTAGGGCCTAATGAATTTATTTCAATTGACTAATTTCCTTATTTGAACTGTAACTCAGTAAAATCAATGAAATTGTTGCATGTTGCGTTTATATTTTTGTTCAGTATATAGGTGAGATAATGAACTCAGTAGGGTTGTTGAGAACAGAGTGTGTAGTCAGAGGGAGCACACATATAATTGCCTTTGAGATTGTAGAGGCCCATCAGAATCCCCTACTGTCAGGCTCAACATGCGAGCGACTGGGGTTAATGCACTTCACCATCCCTGCAGAGCTGCACAAGGTAGAACATGGAGGTAAAGGGACACTAACTAAGCAGCACCTTGTTAGTGCATACCAGGATGTTTTCAATGACATCATAGAGTCACTGCCGGGTGACGTCCACTTCGAGCTTGTCAACAGCAGCACACTGGTGCAGTGTGCCCCAATAGATTTCTCAGTGGCTCTGAAGGCAGCAGTTAAGGCACAGCTGGACAAACATGAGCAGAACGGCCACCTAGGCATTGTCACCGACTGGATTAGCAACAAGATCAGACAAGTTCAGCCAGACCGAGTGACCTCTGATTCCGGCCCGCAGTTTGCCTGTGAGAAATTCAGAACATTTGCTAAAGAATGGGACTTTGAACATGTCACATCTTCATCCAGACACCCGAAAGCCAACGTCAAAGCAGAGTTGGCTGTGAAGATTGTAAAGAGCCTGTGTAAAAAGGCAGCCAGCGCAGGTTATGATCCACGGAAAGCCATCCTCCATTGGAGAAACACATCCCATAGAGGGCATGGACAGAAGCCCAGCACAGCGGTTGTTAGCACAGAGACTGAAGACTCCCCACGCGTCATCACAGGAGTCCCCGAGAAGCTGCACCTGAAATGACAGACGGCCAAACTGACGTACGACAGGTCGGCCAGAGACCTGCCAGAAACATGCCAGAGCTGCGCATCGGCCAGGACATCAGAATGAAGCCCCTAACTGATGATTGGACTGGCCGATGGAGACAAGGTGCGTGCCTACAGCAAGTTGCTCCCCGATCATACCTCGTGGATGTTGAAGGTGCCACCTACCGGCACAACCAGGTGGACCTGAGACCGGCAGAGAAAGCCCCACCTGGGCACCCAGACCACCCATCGATCGGCCCAGTAGCCCAGCTCGGGCCAGACAAGACAGTGTTATCATCAGTGACACAGAGGAGAGTGACACTGGCCCCACTGAACTCTCACACAAACCAGCCAGGCAGGTTCATCATACCCCTTCCCAGCCTGCTGGCAGCCCACCACACACAGGGTAGTATCAGTACTTGGTGAAAGCCCCTGAAAGACTTCATCTGTAGTGTTCAGTAGTGCCTGTACTGGACAAAAATGACAAAACAAACAAAAACTGCATTTGTTATTGAGAGAATAATTGTTTTAAAACTGACAGAAGACACGTGTTAATGATAGTAAATTAAGATAATGGATTAAGTGCTATTGGTTCTACATCTATCCTATTTCTGTTTAGGCATTAGGCTGGCATATCGTTCATATCTTATCTTTTCCTCATTACCCTTACTCATCAAGTCTGCTAACTTCATTGTAAAGGTCTGGATTGGTTACTTATTTTGTTTGCTTAAGAGACTCCATATGTAAGGCTGTCACGCCCCGTTATGATACATCCCTGTAATGATGCATGGCAGGGGGGAACCGATGTTCACACTATCGCCCCCTATTATTGAAAAACACAGATATTAAACAATTTTTTTTTTAATTCTGTGGTCCCGTCTCGAAACTTACTTACACAAATTGGTACATCTG